TGTTTGTGTCCAAATCTGTCCTGAAAGGTCAAAGGTCAAGGCTCACACTTCGAGAGCTGGAGCAACAACAACCCTCCACTGGTGGCAGCGTGCTGTTTCAGCTACTGATGAAGCAATAAACATACAAAACAGCTAAAAAAAACCATCTGTAAAACATAACTTGGGTGGCCAGTATTTTGAAAATGTCATTCTCCAAAGCTAAAAGGGAACCACTGGTAGCTCAATATCTGAGTAGTTGCTCAAAAAAAGTTAAGAGCACCATACCACAAGAAGAGGAACTGCTATGTAATTGTTCTCAGGTGAAATAATGAGAGACACACTCAAACACAAAGAAACGTCCAACAATGAGTTCAAGTATCGAGGTTTTTTTTGTTTTTTGTTTTTTAAATCATGATTTTTACATTTCACTGGCTAAATTTCCTCAGAGATCAAACAGAAAAACAAAGGCCATGGGCTCTGCTGTGAGCTGAGGTAGCACAAAACGAATTCAAAAAAGAAAGAAAAATCTAATTCATGTGTGTAATAGAAACTACAATGCAACGAGTGTCAGAGAGTCAAATCCAGAATTCAGAGAGTGAAGTGGAATATTTCATTTGGAATAGATTTAAAAGCAGAAAAGACCTGTGCTGAAAGGTTGTGTGGGGATTCAAAGAGAGGTTTTCTATTTTCTACAGTAGGCCACAGCTCCGTATGCCACCACTCCCACCACGGCGACCAAAGCGGCGCCTCCACACAGCAGCTCGGTGGAGCTCAGAGGTTTGGTCTTGGGAGACGTCGGCTGAGGCTTCTCTGGCGCCGCCTCGGGCTCTTTCACTGAATGTTCGTCTACGTCGGAGAGGGGAACCTGTGAGAATTTGAGTTGCTCCAGACTCGCCGCTGGAGGCTCTGCTGCCAAGGGAGAGAGGATAGAAGGAGGGTGGAGGCCCTGAGTGGAATAAAGCTCCTCGACTTCAGAGGTTGTGGTTGAAGGGACCGGCGTGGACGTAGTGGACGGGGGGTCGAGCCTGACGATGGGCAGAGGAGGCAGAGCCATCGGGGGAACCACGTGCCTGAACTCTGCCGGCTCCTTCTCCACGTGAGGCTCCTCTGATGACACCAGGAGCTCCTCAGTTTCTGGAGCCTGCAGGTCCTGCTCCTCCTCCCTGAGCTCGCCCAACTCCCTCTCCCCACCCAACACGCTCAACACACTCGTCTGCAGCTCCTCTTCGTCCTCCTCCTCTTCCTCCGTTCTTCTCCCCCTCTCCTCCTCCGTGGCCTCCTTCTCCGCCTCCTCGAGCATCTCGGCCTCCTCTCGCTCCAGATGGACCATGTCGGAGTTGGAGGAGTGGTTCTCCTCTCCGGCCAGAACCGCCCCGTCGCTGCTGTCCAGGCTTTTGGTGTCCTCGTGGTCCACGTCGCCCATCGTGGACCAGGACTCTGCCAGCAGGCTCTCGCTCTGCCAGGGTCCGGGGCTCTCGGCCTGGGTCAGAGGCAGAGCGGCGGGGCTTGGGCTCAGGGTTCCGGCTTCCCCGCCTCCTCCTCCATCCCCCCTGCTGGACTCGACTGAGGCCTTTCCCTCCAGAATGAAGGCTGGCTGCTGCAGAGACAGAAGATCAGAGGTGGAGCGACGTCAGTACAGGTATCAGGTCTTGACTCCAAAGTCCTTCA